CTGGATAATAGAATAATATCCCCGAATCAGTTTTGGGGTGATAACCTTGCAGTCCTTCAATAAAAAGTTCGATGACTGTATGTGCCCATTGTTTTCAATGCTTTGCCTATTACCCTCAAAGAGCTAAACTGATGAGCAGGAGATCGTGAGTTTTACGTCCTTTCGGCTCAAGGGCCATACTCTGTGAGTTATATATCGCAGGTAATGGCCATTTTGTTCGGACTTGAAATCATGTATCTTCTACAAGACAAAATAGGTAACATCTCAAATAACGCTACTTACAGCCAGAAAGCTGTGGAAAAACTGCATAGCGCATTGTGATAGTCCGAGTAAAATAAGACATTTGTTTCAAATGAATCAATTGTATGACTTAAGGAGCCTTCTCCTAAGGAATCTTTGTTTAAACAACTCGCGTAAAGAAAGCCGGGGTCCTCACGGGGGTAACACGTTGTTCTTGGTTTGTTTTTGTTCTTAGTATGGAAGACACCGTAACAGTCATCTCAGAACATTTAACTAAGGGGAAGTCTCGTCTATAAAGGAGAAAACTTGCCCTCCAAGTAATCACAGGATTTCAAACCACAAGCTAATATTTGGCCTAGTTAACTATCGTTCGAAACACGCAGTCCTCGTTCTTCCATGACGACACGGTTGAGTGGGCCAAGAATATGCGAAATATCGACCAACCATATTTACAAAGATATGTCTGTAGTGCCTTTTTATGCACTTCGTATCCCTGTTTTACCTTCTATGAAGTAAGTTGATACGTATTTGCTCGTGTTTGAATACGCTTAAAGGTACTTCAACCGGCTTTCAGTCTTCGTCAGGATAGGTTTTGTCTTCGTGACCACAAAGCACCCTCACTCGCTTCAAACTATCTGCGTGCATGATCCCAGCATCGGAATCCTTTTCATAACATTTTTGAAGCCAGTGATGTTTTTGTTTCTCCCCAGTTAAATGGTACCTAAAGTTTTAACTGTTTACGTCATGAAGCCTTTAGATACCACGTTGGCAAGTAGCCCATGTCTCTGAATAACATGCGATTTAATCCCCCAACAATATTTTTCGAGAACTTTTCATGAAACTTGAGCCTGAAATGTAGGCGTTATCGCGACTCCTATGGCAAATTTAGCCCCTGCTCGATGGTCGCTATGTAAATTATGCAATTTTTTCAAAATTCGACTTGGCATGTTGCTTACTTTCATCCGACCGGCTTTAGTAATTTCCGAAGCCAGCTTTGGGTCAAGTGCCACTAGCGCTGATAAAATAGGGCTCTGTTATAATCGAACCTGTAGTAGTCAGTAATCTCCCGAATACTACATAGAAACGGTTTCCATCAATGCTCATCAAGGTGTTGTCCATGCAGGACGTGTAACACGCTAACCATTTTTGTCAGTTTGTCACCCAGCTTCTTGGTGGACAAAGATGGTGTTTAATCAAGACTATTTTTCAGCGGCTCTTTATTCAATTAGATGATGAATCGTCCGCTGTGATCAATGGTTTCTTACTAACTTTCGACTTTTTGCGGGTGAGAAAATCATCATCCCATTAATACCAGCAGCTCAATTTTTACAACGGCCACTGAAACCTTAGAATCTTCCCCTACTACTTACATGACCGTCCTAAATTCGTCATTATTAAGCAATTTTACGTGCCAACCGTCCCTCACCGAACATTATCAGTACACCGAAGAAGTTCAACAGGGGTTTGAATACCGCACTGTACCCACGGGTCGAACAACATTGTGTCAATCGCGCAGAATTTACCCCTAACTACTTCGAAATAAGATGGATAAATAGTTAATCTGCCGTTCGTTCAGACCAAGGGCTTCTCCGTCGTAAACGGTCTCCAAAATATTATCCGGCGACTAGAGAGTTTGTGACGACTATCGCGTCTTGAAAAGAGCCATTGTTCCATACCAATATTGCGTCCCAGGTATTCACGCCTTTATCCACAACCTGCACAGAAAATAGATATTTTTAAAGAACGCACAGCATAACATATTAGTGGCTGACGCAGTTTCCCAGAGACCGCCATCACTACACCGTTCAGTCTGTTAGAATTCGTTTTCTTCTCAATTAATTCTCCTCGATCCTCCTAGACGTTCATCGCTTGGCGGCGTACAGTACGGACATTGTGATTTTCGGCACTCTCGAATAATGAGCAGATGATTTTAGGGAGGTCGTATTCAGCACACAGAGACCCGTTTAGACTCCGACTTCTCATGAGGCTGCACCGCCCAGAAAGTAGTCTCTTGTGACGGCGGAACTTTCTGGGTTGCCTAGGAGAAGTATGCCACGGTTTGACTACTTTTTTAACCGATTTGGGTTTATCTACAATCTGTCTTCGACAGAAGGACCCCGACATACACTCCATATCTCCATGCGGTCAGCAGCCATTGTTGCTTCGTAGTCCAAAGCCTTTGCCCAACCGTCCACTTATATCAGGAACAAAGTGAGCCTGGAAACAAAACTTGGGGAACATCACTCTTGACCACAGCAGGATCTGACTTTCCTCGACCGATGCACATAACCTGCCGTCGATCCAAAAATAAGTTTTCGATCCATTTGAGGGATTTCTCTCTGATCCCCATTTATTTAGCTTGTGCAACAGTCGCTGGTGTGTTACGGTGTCGAACGCCTTCTGGAAGTCAATGAAACCTATGTGGACCACGTCTCTGTCGTCGAGAACTTGGGTCCGGTTCTGAAGCGATTACATCAAGTTTGTCTTGTAGGATCTTCCTTTCTGGAAACCATGTTAGCATTTCAATAGCAAGTCATGAACATCCGCAAACTTCACGTTGATTAAAAATAGATTTGAACCCAGAATGCTCCTATAGGTAAAGCTATTGAGAATAGTTCCCCACACCGATCTGGAGTTTCCAATGGGGACAAGCTAGGATCTGTTTGTGAGAACGTAGGATAACCTAATCAGTAGAACAGCGGTCGCAACAATTTGGCGTAATTCAAATATACGTTATCTGTACGAAACGCCGTCATAAGCTTTCCTGAAGCCAATACAGACTATATCTACTGTCAAACCCATTTAAGGGGATTCGTCCAGCTCTTCATGAATAATGATCTGTCGGTAAGAGAAGATCGACCTATTCTAGAACCGTGCTGATGTTTGTATAACCCAGTCCTTTTCTTCAAGATGCATTATCAACTCCGTTTTTTATAAATTCGTCCGTTTGCTTATAACAGATGACTGTGAGAATCATTGGTCTAAAGCTATTTGGTGAGCTTCTCTCGCCACGTTCCCGTATTTATTTGCGTTGGCAACCCCCCGGTCATTATGCAGATCCCCAGTCTCTGACAGATTTTCAAATATCGTCAATGATGTGGTGCCCAGTTTTTCTAAGAGTTAGTTCCTAAACTTTGTGGATATATCACCCGAACTAGACGAATTAGCATGCTTTAACTGTGTCGAGGTATTCCTGTGTGCGTTTTTTTTGAAGGACGCTGTGCCTATTTATCCTTCGATGCGATAAGGGGGTGTATAATCTTTCGTCAAACACCTGCTCCTTGACGGGCACGGACGTGAAGAAATCGGGGAAGTGGTTCACCGTTAGGGATTTTCAGATAACTTATTTTCCGGAAAACCCGCTGGGAGAGTAATGTGGTCTCCGCTGAAATTTCCTCTGTCCACATAGCTGAAGATGTCTTTTTGGATTATTCAGTGTTCCATTGATTTATTTTAATTCCAATTTTGTTCGTTCCTTCCTCAGCCAATTTCGAAATATATTTCATCGTATTTTTTTAATCGGAGAAATATTTTGGTTGTTGATATGTCACAAATTTGTCTGGAGTTGAGTTTTCGTGTTCAGGCTCACTATTTCAACGTCACCCACTGTATATTGCAGGCGCGTGATTTCCTCCAAAGTGAATGACAGCTCTCTATCATGTGTTGGGTTAAGGTCTTCAAGAAGGACCAGGCGAGGTTTAGGTCATGTACTTGTGTAGGGCTGCGACTCATCTCATTAACCAGATTTCTTACTTTCAAAGAGTTCATTTCCGTTATTTCGTTACGTTACTTCACGATTTAAGTACACAGAAAAGCAACTATATTACTAAACATGGAAGTAATTGTCATTCCAATCAAGAGGCGTGTGCGAACCCAATACAAGTATAAAAGTAACGCTGCTAATGGGAATGAGTGTCAGGCGGCATGCCTGCTATTCATCGTAGGATTGCCTGTCCATTTTAACACGTTGGGTAAATGACTCATCTGCGATCAACCGAAGAACGTTTTCTAATCGACTGCGGCGCATCAGTTTCATCTGGAGAGTTAAATTTCCCAATCGGTGTTACGTGTTTGTCTCAACAAACTTTCTATAGCTCGGTGCTGAGTGCACTGTCCGTATTCGTCAGCTATGCCGGTACCTTCAAACTCTCAATACACGAATATCTGTTTTGGCTTGATACTATCAAACATTAGCTAAAAAATCTCACGAGCAGTGTGGTTTTTTGAGGCAAGCTCGTTCGTGGCGTCATTAATGCCATCTTAAAGGATTACTGTAATATACCCATCCCAGACCTTACCCATCTTCTCCTACTTTGGCCTTTTCAGGCTATGCTGAAGATCATTCAGCATGACTTCTGTATGTTCTAACTCATTGAATAACCATGTTTCAGTTATATCCACTAAGTAAAATATAGATACAGAGGTATAGACAAACATTCCATTTTCATGACCGTCAACGGTTTTTCGGGTAGTTATAAAAATATTATGGCCGAGTCTTTTTATAGTTAAATATGGTTATACGAGGATGCCGAACTTCCCGATGATGCATTTCGTTAGTTCATTCGCGCTTGTTCGTAGCCCTGCTCCAGTTCCCATAAACAATATATAAATTTAATAGTATATCCACCTTAAGCGGTGTGACAGTTAAAGCAGTGGGAAAATAAGACCTTCTAACCTATCTGCAAAAGTAACAGTTTTTTTGTATCACGTCCACAGTTTATTACATGAACTTTGTTACGCGCAGAAGTCGAAGTTTGTCGATGGACCTTGGCTGTGCAGGTTCGTCGTGCTCTTTTGGACGTCATATAGACAAGTTTGCCTATTATTCATCAGCATTTCTTCTATTTTAAACATGGTTCTTTGCCAAGCAACCTTGCAACCAGTTTGAAGCCTTATGAGAACAACTCGGTTTTTCTGAAGGCTCTTTTGCAGGAGAAAATTCATTTATGCTCTCATGCACTTGCTTGTGACGTTAATCGACTGTTAGCTCGTTTATTAAGTTGATTTTTAGGTAAAGTTAGGTGAACCGTTGTGAGAGAGTGTCAATGGAATTTCAAAGTAATCCTTTTAGACTCACAAATAAATGCATACCCATCTCTTGGCACTCTGCTTCTTGCTTGGTCACCATTCAATTGCTAACTGTGCAGTGAGAATTTTGATGGTCAACTTTCTGACCCCGTAATTGGGCTTTTCCCGTGCAGAACAAAGACAATACACAGCATTTTGGTTACTCACTTTTGACTTACTTTTCGGATTTCAATTTAAATTGTGTTATCATCCGGCGCTAAGCGTTTCTCTGGGAACATCTTAATTTATCCACAAGGAAAGGACATCCTGTCTACCATGCTGGTTTACCACAGGATGTTGCGTGGGTGCGAAAAGGCAACCTAATTATTTTATTCGGAGCATAAGTTTAGAAAATCGACCATGGACATGGTAACTGGCAGAGCGACAAACGGCAGTAATGCAAGCAACACGACGGATATATCGAGATGCGGACACTGGAAGAAATGGAAAAGTGACTGAAAGGGTAAAAATGATGAAGAACGAGATCAACTGCCAAAATTGATATCACATCAATAGAGATAAGATGTAAAACAGGAAGAATTTTGCGACCAGTAGTAGTTAACTTCGCGTAAATAGGCAGTTGAAAGTTTCCTATGTTCGCAATACTCCGGGCTAAACTAGCCGGTTACTTGCACGTCCTGACTAGCGACTTAAACATTTTCTGCGAATGGCTCCGACAATAGTGCTTAAAAGGCAAATTAGCATCCACGTACTTTATCCAATGACCTATTAGAAATATCTTTTAAGTACCAGACCAACCGGCGTCTAGTTATGAGGTCGACAGTAGGTTCATGTCGTGGGACTGTATCTCTAACGGATGGTCTGCGCATATGCCTAGTTTTATTTGAATTTACTTCGGATGGACTGCGATTTACACGCATTTATTGAGGGGTATCATCTTTCTATCTTCGTAGACACTCGGGCAAGTCCATCCTCAGCAGAAGAGCGATCCCATGTGAAGATGTAGAGTTTCAGTGCTGACCGCCGGCAGTCAGCTCGTTTGACTTACCTTTAATAGGTGTTTAGTGTAAATGGGAAATACCCGAACCCCTAACACACCAGATGAAAGTATCTTTGAACCGGTATCGTAAACGCCTATGTGCAAGTTTCCACGTTCTAGATAACTTTACTCAGATGACTCTACCGCCGACCAAATCTTGTGCATAAAGTCTAAACCTACTTAGTATGTCGAAGGATTTGCCACGGCCCTTAAGGGAGCTCTACACGTTTCCGTACAGGATTTCCCGTGGTGACTGCAAAACTATATCTTAAATGGCCGCGCCGGCCGGTACCCATAAGTAGCAGAACACTGGTGTACTACCTTCTCCATGATTTTGCACACTACACTGGTCAGGCTATTTAGTCGTCTGTTTGCAACCGACATCTCCCTTTTCTTCGGTTTAGGGATAACTAGGGTCTTCCTTTAAACTTGTGGAAAGCTAGTTGTTCTAAAGCTCTTGTTAAATGGACTACATGCGACACCCAAGACCATCCAATGTATTTCAGGAGAACCCAAAGTAGATTTTCCGGCATTTTGTCCCAAACGCAACTTATGATAAGTAAACTTAACTGGTCGATTTGCCGGGCTTTTTATCAAAACAATCATAATGCGAATAAAGACAGAATTCCCATTTTGTCTCGTTAAGTTTCTTAAGTTGCTCACCGAGTATGAGAATTTTCTCCTCTTTTTCTGAACAGACACGACTGCGTTTCCAAAGCATACTTGTATACTGAAAGTTTCCCTTATAATTATGTGCACGGCTTTAATCTTCTCGACTGATACCTAACCCTTTTTGTCTGTTTTTCCTTTGCCGACTTGACTTCGTCAGACCAGTGCTGACGTTATTACCGTCTCGTAGGCATTCGAACGTTTCCCCACATCACCTATCTTCCGGTCAGATGGCTGAGCTTGCTTATCTTAGACGTACGCTGTTGAAATTTGCACATACTCCACTGACAGTAGCCACTTGGCTGCTGGATCATCTTTGTGGGTAGATAAGAGCCTTAATTGATTACGTCCCAATTGGTGGGAGCACAGCATCTACACCAGGAAGCCCTCTTAGTCCAGAGCTGACAAGGGATCGAACAGCCGTATTTCCCGTAGCCTGCATGTCTGCGAGTCAGTAAATTCAAATGAACTTGCGATGTTGTAGTGGCCTGTGCTAGCCGACCTAAATGATTAGAGATGCAAATACGATGTCATCTTTACGTAACGGGTGGTCCAGGGACCTAATTACTATTTCTCTCTTTACTGACAAGAACACCGAGTAAAGTGCTTTGAGAGATACCCGGTTGGTCGATTGGGGTGAAATGTGGGTGGGAGCTAACATACCTCGCCCAAAACGGCCATCTTTTTGGTCTCAATTAAAAGTCCAACGGCTATTTGCATTGATGCATATGCCAGGGGCGCCCACTATATGCGGGCTCTCATCAACTAATGACTGGCCAAGCCGGAAACTTTATTCCTAGGGCTACATGCACTTTCCAGTTAACAGCAGTTCTTTGTGGACTACTCACCCAGAAAGTGTTTGCTGTAACCCAACACCAGATGAAGATAGCAGCTTTTAAGCCTGTTGGCGTCTATGAGCTTTCTGTTTTTTTACGAATCGAGACGTAATCGAACAGCCTACCTACTCACGAGAACTGTTTTCTCCCACGTACGTCGACCAATTCTCCACTACTCTGAGTGATTATTGTTGCCTACGATATGTGGCAACTAAGGTAAGAAATATGATGGCCTATGACTTGCTAAGCTCAAGCAGTGGGGTCCGCGAGAGCTAAAGTTCATCGGCCCCCTTATTTTTGCCTGTTCTGTGGGTCCGCCTTCTTGACTTAGCGTCAGTAAAGTTGTTAAAGACACTCCTTGGATTTCCTCATCTGCTTCTTCGTGCCTGAGGCTGTTAACGACCTGTGCTTCTACAAGGTTTACGACAATCATATCGTGTAGCTTTCGCTGGGCCATCTTGATCTTCAAGAGTTGTTACGCGGTTTTAGCCGCCCTATGGCTGACATGAAGTTTTAAATCCTTACCACCTCATTGAGCCCAGAGGTACGGTTTTTGATGTTCGTCCGCATTTTTTTTCAATCTGGGCTGGAAGGAAGTTAATTCTTACAGCCAAAAATCTGATAAGTAGTTTTCCTGGTTGGTAGATTATCATGGGCTAGATCAAACGTCATCTTGTCCGTTTATAGCTTTTTTGTTCAGAACACGTTAATTACTAACATCCACACGAAACCTGTTCATAGTTATCAACCCTTCCACAAAACGGTGGTCCGTAATTTTTGTACGGCACTCCTTAATTTGGAACCTAATTCTTCACAGAATCGGTTCGGGCCCAGTCGGTAGAATAAGATAGGAGCTTTAACGTGGACGCACGGTTAGTCAAATACCTATATAACTACTACCTGCTTTCTGGATGTTGTCATCTCTGACGAAGGAGTTCTATGCGAGCGCCAATGCCGAAACCAATAGACAAGTGGTCTAGGTGATTGGCCTTTTCCTTGTCGTAGTCCAGCTGTGTAAACAGGTTGTTACCCGTGGATTGTAACGTGCGCGGTATTTTAAGTGTATTACTTTTGGAGTGCAAAACGCAACAGGCAGTAGACGGCTGATGTTTTTGTATCTCTGTGTAAGCGTTTTATATTGAATTTTCTGACTGACTGGCCTAAAATGTCCGATCACAATTGTCGCTATTAGCCTTTTTTGTATTTCCTTCAAGTTGATGTAAGTCAGCGCCAGTCAACCAGATCTGCAACATGCCCTGACAAATCATCAACCACCAACGTTCCGGAAGAATGCCGCGATCACTTGGAAGAAGGTCCTGTTGCCTCAGGTATTTTGGCAGTTTGCACTAAATTAACACTCTTAATTGTCAGTAATGCATTGTGGAATTCCTGTAGTTTTCGTCGTGAATTATTTTGCTTGCAGAATAGAACTACATCTTAAGCCCGCATGACTTGGGTTTCAAGTATGATGTAGTACAAAGTGCCGATCAGTAAGGTATGCTGTTCCAAGAGGAGCAAAGTTATAGTCTTGTGCCCTCATATGCAGAAAATGCCCTCTGCCTGTAATATTGCTACAGGCGAATGAAAATCCACTCGGCTCGGCTGTTCTTGCCGGTTGGAGTGAGAAAGGTGTTGCTCCAGCCCGCATCCATCGCTTAGTTGCCTCACTCTAATAGACCTTCACAACACTAACTATTGTAGCTTAGGAGGTTGTCAACTGACGGCCGACTCGGTCCTACTCAGTCTCAGGTCACAATGGCTCCCTTCGCTTAGATATCCGCAATCCCTTCATGGAAGACTGATTCTTGTCGTGTCAGGAACCGACTAGTGTATGTGATAAGCACGGGTGTGGACTTTGCGCCAGGTAAGCCCCTACACCCACACCCTTCTGCGGTCTTCTTCGTCTGCTGTTGTCATTGAAACACAGTGAGTTACTTGAGAGTTGATTACGTAGGCGCTGCGCAAGCCCACCTCACTATTAATTAGTATTGTGAATCATGCCATGCTTGTACACTGCAGACTGTCTGTTGAATGCATATAGATAATTTAGTTCAAGTTAACATTACACATTTCTGAGGAGATTACAAAACTGAAATTTCAAAAGTACCCGGGAAATGCCAGTGGCCTTACAGGTGAGCGGAACTTCTTGCGGGTATGTAAAAAGGGGAAACGCGTGTCTAAGCTTTTAGCTAGTATGTGTGCTGTCAGTCAGAATCGTGCGATTAAATAAGTGTCTAGGCCAGCGGCGAATTCTCCTCGATGCGTGGTGACCTTTCTGACCTCCAGAGTGTACGCTTATTTTTTATTTAATATCTGCTGCTTTTCACAAATAGGCGCCCCCCACTATGAACTATGCTTCTGCTGCATCGGTTGAAGTAGTTCCAGGAGACTGCTTTGAAGTACTTTTTAATCCGAACTGCCTAAGATGGGGCACATATCATTACAGGTTTTTCCGGATATAAAAATCGAGTCAGTAATAATTACGGTAATAATGATTTGTTCTCTTATATATTTCCTTTTTTGAAAAAAACAAAAGGCACAATCTCTCAAGCTGGCTCCCGTTAGTGTTTGTCATTCCATTTGTAACACGACGTCTCAACTTGCAACAGATACGATGACTTAGCGATAAGGAATAGCCGCAGACTGCCTGAAATCCACCAATGCAAGTCCCTAGACAAGCTACAATTGACGAGATGTCCCATTCTGTACTACGTTGTATAAATGAAATTTCAGTAGGTCCTTACATCTACATTTTGAAATTTTGTCGTATGTGACAACTAATATTCTCCCTAGGGGAAGAATGGCGTACACATCCACTGTCCATGTTTCGTGATAAGTACCGAGGGAAACAGCCTGAAGACAAGAATCTGCCTAGGACTGTTCGGTAGGTTTAAAGCAGATTATTTTATGCAATATGTGTACAGTTAAATGTGGAGCGCTTCTTAGACGAGGCTGTTTTCTCCTGCAGAAAATTTTACAAGAAGCAAGACAAATTGATTCGTGAACTCGAGTCAGCTGCCTCTCTACTTACTCCTGACGAGAATGCTGAAGAGGATGGCGCTTTGATGGTTCGAAAGCAGCGTCACACGAACAACATCCTCATCATAGCAACATTTGTCTCAAACTTGGTAAGAGACTGTACTAGGCCTTCTCCCATGAACTCCCTGTCACGGGCGCAATGGCGATTACTTGATTTTTCTTATGAAACATATTTTTTTTACTGGGCATCTGATACTAACACTTCTCTAAAGCCATGCAATTCGGTCAGACTGGATGTGCACAAATTTGCCCAACAACTCCGTTGTTTCCTGCCAGACATTTTTCTACCTCTGAAGTCTAGCGTACTGACGCTGTAGGGAAAGCTTTTGTTCGTTTACACAGCGCCTTAACCTCCAGTGCTTCGTATGCTTGCGCAATCAGATAACGTTTACCACGACCGCACTGTCTGCGCGATACCTTTCCCTCAGCAAGTGAAACTGCATATGTAGGAACAAGAGGGGAAAGTATCCAACTGTGTTGGAGTGAAAAAAACTACTGTATTAAGGCTGCACTCAACCGACTACTGAGTTATAAAAAGGGGATAGTTGTTTATCTTGCTAGATGCCAAGATTGACCAATAGGATATATTGATATTCACTGATTTAGTTAGGATTTAGGATTTAGTTACCCGCAAGCTTGTCGTGCTCCAGAGTAGTTGGGTGAGTTGAGAAAACTGGTTTGTGTGGATATTGGAGGGCTCCAGCAGATTTAGCAACTTTATTCGCCCATGACACCACATACTGTAGATTCCCAGAGCCTAAGGCTGGCAGGGGCATATGGTCAGCATAGTCAAGATCACTCAACCGGTTCCGGGGTACAAATCATCATCGTCGAAAGCTGCGTCATCAAAACTACATTGGCAAAGCTGAATAGAGCCCTTCGAAGTATCTAGTCAATGGTTTAGTTGAATTTAATGGGTGACAGGAGGCAGCAATGTCAAACACCAGGTTGAATATCGAACGGTCGGGAGAGATTGTTATGAACCAGAACTCGCGCACTCCCTGATAGGGGAGGGGGTGGTCAAACGACCTTGCATAGACTGGGGAGGGATAAAAGTGTTGCAGAGGAAAGCGAGAGCAAGACGGGTTAGTCGTCGACGTTGAGAAAGTAAACGAAGTCCTAGCGCCAGCTACTGATCCTGGTCGAATCGTCATCACCAAGGCCGCATTTACACTGTGAACAGAATCATTCGATACAGAGGGGCTGTAAATACTTTGCTGGAGTTTTAAAATGCTACGGACCTTTGAGGACTGCTCCATGTAGGTCGCTTCCACAGCCTACTAGTGTCTGCACCAATCTTCGGCCGATACTGCCGTCATTTTCCAGAAGTGGAAGGGGTGATCGTTGCGGAACCTGGCTCTAGCCGTCTATACATACGGCTGCAAGGTTCTTCTGCTAATCCAGTCAATGCGGCGCCGCTGGCCGAATCCAAGAAAGTCTCTCGGCTGTCTCGCTACCTGATGACTTTAGTTATACCTATTCGCAACAAACCTCGACTTCGCCTCAGATCGTAAGGTAAGATCACATTTCTGTGCATTGGGTCTCGGCTGTACTGGATTGTCTTTAGGCCGCGACATCAAGGTGATAACTTGGGTGCAGATGAGAAATGAACTTTCAAGCGTGTATGAGCATGCCCATGGTCTGACCCGGGATCGTTACCGGTTTCGGCACTACGCACCGATCGGCCATTGTCAACGCAACTGCGAAACCTTGAACCGGCTCAAATGTAGTCCCTCTGACTGGTCGCCGTTTGAATATCATGTCAGCAGATATTTATGGCGATGCTGAAATCATGTATTGGTGACAAATAGTCTGTTCTTGTCGTTAGAGTTCCGTATTCTCTACATTGTCGCATCGAAAACCAAGCCAAAGTGACCAATAAGGTGATTAAAGAGTCAAGGCATCCAGTTCAGCTATTTTAGTTCTCGCCAATAATCAGAAAATCACGGCGAGGGAGTCGTTTAAGTGATTCTTGCAGCTGTGAGTAGTTCCTCTATCGCGCTGGTCAGCCAGCTGATGTCGGTGCATACAATGAGACGTCGGATACGTTGTGAAGTCATACTTAAGCAGGTCATTGACTGGTTCCCACGCAAACATGACCCACTGTGGTTGGTGTGGGCCCGAAGTTTTTGATTGCCAAGGCGGCTGAATCGGGAATTTAGATATGGGACAGACATCCACTTTGTACTGATGAAGACTGGTCGGGCCTTGTGCACTAGGGTGTGGTTAATAAGTCCTTTTGTGCCAAATTTCTGTTCCTTGCCTTTAAGCCGTTACACCTACATACGCCCAAGAAATTGTTGTTAGTAGGCGTGTGTCATTTCAGCCTACACGTTTTATTAGCAGTCAGTTGTCATTTTGATAATAATTCGTCTAGTGCAATTGCGGTTTGAGAACTTTTCTCCTGCCATTTTACAGGTCCTGTTGTCAAGCAAACTAGTTGCCTCTATACTCTCCAACTCCTTGTCAATAATCTCCTCACTAATGGACAGTGTAGTTGACTTGGCCTCTGGTTTCACCCTCTGGATCACAGCCCTCCAAATGCGCAAATCACGTCCCTACACATATCCGCAAGGTTTGTACGGTCCATTATCTGCTTTCATAATTATCAGCAACAGCCCTACCGAGTGCGTCAACTCCAGACGACGAAATTAAGTAGGTTTATGTTAACTTCACAATGTCCCTCGCAGGGTGTTTAAATTGCCATTCTGAAAATTAATCCGATTTCTTTGCTCTCGAGAGCAGCCCAGCCGAGAGAATGCACAGTCTGTTTTGATATAAAGAATTTTCGACGAAAGAACACGAAAGAAATGTGCAGTTTCCATTCTATGCTAAACCGAGCAGTTGAAACGAGAAATGTTTTCTCCTTCAAAGATGTGCAGAGATAACTCAACTGCGGTTGACGAGACAATCAGTTTCCAGCTTGAAAATCGAAAAAACGTTCGGTTGGATGAAGACGGAAAAAATGGAGGCAAAATATCAGGAGTCTGTTCAACCATTCACTTTAGTTCAGTCCATAAAGCAACTAGACTCTAACTTCTGGCCATTTGCCTCTGAACTGCCAATTGCTTCTGATGGCCGGTTATATCGGATTTTAAGTATGCATATTCAGAGTATGATATAATGACAGTATCGCAGCATCATTTAAGTCCGCCGAATGAGTCGAAGCGGGTCGGTAAAGGCTGTGCTCTTATTTTTTCAGGTAGAAGGCGCCTGGAGCCGATCGCAGTTATTATCCTGTCGGTGATCATGGCGAGCGTTTCTGTACAGATCGTGGTTCAAGCGGTTCAGACGCTCTACAACATGGCTGTCAATAACCAGGGTCCACCCGTCATGTCCAACGTTACTATAGGCCTTGTTGCATCAACCATAGGTAAGACTTTTTCCTCTCAGCAACTTTGCAAATCTGTTAAAATTTTCCATCCCCGAACGTTTTTAGCATTGATCGGCCACCATCAGCAGTCTCTCTATCTTGATTTTGACTGAAGACCTAGAGAGGGTCATTGGAGAGGAGGTTATACTGGCACTGCTCTTCATTAAAGTGGGTCCCGGTGAATCGGACTAGCCATTTATTCAAGGTAAATGTTCGAGAGCTGAAGCATCTGGAATATATTCCTCCAAATTTGCATCACGGGGACCAAGATTCCATTTATTTGGAAGTAGTCTGGAAAGATAGTCTGCAGTCAGCTCTCCCCGAGTCTAGTGTCAAGTTGTCTGTATAAGCCACTCGTGTTTCAGGTCACGGGCAACCACGAGTGTTTACCAGCTTAGAACACGCCGCGCAGTTCAGTGGAGAGGTCGCGAAAACGGGAGGTGAATTTTATGGAGCTAGCCGACTCCACCAATTGGCTCCTAATGAATGCTGGTCGGTCCTACTATCGGGCGCACTGTCACATGACCGACTGTAAGGTCAGCTGAGATTCCTCAGCGCGCGCGCGGTGGGGGGCACTGATTTTCGGGCGGCAGCTGTCCCTCTTCCTGCCGTAGTTGTCCGTCTAACGCCGACGTTGGGTGTGAAAGGGTGGAGGGGGATGGTTAGTGGGTTTCGGCGATCAATCAGTTGACTAGCGCCTCTGCGTAGGCATTACTTATTGGTGCTGTCGAGACGTATTACCGATAAAGACGAAAGCACTGGAATGACCATTTTCGGCTTCCATTCCGCAATCATTGGTACTCCAACTGCAGCCTGCGCGTCCGATGATTAAGTTTTATCCTCGCCCACCACTGCAGTAACGGCGTCGCGTAGTCCCGTCTGAAATCTAAAAGATCCAGCGTCGTCAGAATGGCCTGCAGCGGTTTATCCTCATTGCAGGACGAAAATGTGCATGAATAGAAGCGAAAGTTCGAGTTTCAGGCGTATGTGCAGTTCCGTTTTATCGTGGAACTGGGAGTGTAAAGCACTCGTAGGCTATGACATGGCAACATGCTCTACACAACGGAGTAGTTTTTCTGAGAAATATATGGACGCTGGAATGGCGATTTCTCTCTTCTTTGCTTGAACTGGTCTCTGGGCGCAAACGGATCGTACGCAAATCACCTGCTAGCAATAAAAATGTGGGTAAGATGTGGTTTGGTAGCCCCACCTGATGGACACATTACTGTTGGGGTTGGGGTTAAGGGTTAGGGTTAGAAGTTATGGTCAGGGTTAGGTGTTAGCGCAACTATTTCTCAACCATTCAAAGTACCGCCACGCACTCCAAATAGCTTTTCTTTTGCATACAACAGCTTGACCTCGTCGACTGTCTGTCCCCCCGCTCCAGCTTTAAAAACCCCTATTGCCACCGGTCCCGTATTAGAGGTGACTGGGGTTTGTTTACTTCAGATGGGCGCTAAAAAACCACATCCGACCAAAATGTGGCCTTCACGTGACGTTAGAAGAGAGTGAGGGAGGCGTTCGTCGGGAGGGGTGCATTTTTGTTCTAACCTTTTCGGCCTGGCGAGTGTTATGCACATCTCCAATAATAGCAGCTGTTTGACACTGGCAAGCTGGGTCGAGTCGCCATCTTCACTCAAGACGACCCACCCCTTAAATTTCCCAGTCGTGATGTTCATCGTTTGGACTGGGGCAAGGGACGCAGTCTGGAGCTCTGGTAAGAATTCAACCCAGCGACGCCAGCCTCCTATCTACTTATTCTTCCATGCATAAACACATCCAGACCTGCAATACTGCCGTTGGTTAGTCCTGCCACCTCAGGTACCTTGTCTCTTGTTGCTGTTCCCTAACCCCTGACGACTGAGTCCTGTGCAAGCCCGAAAGCTCTGACAAGTGGGCTTACGGTCCTGCAGACCAACCGTTCTTCTAATCAACTTATTCAAAATGAAGTAGCTGATCCAGTACTAAAGTCTCCTGAAATTTGCCTCTGTGGCAGCAGCTTGTTTTGGCACGATTGTCGTTAATCTGCTCGAAAGGAGAAAATGCGCGCACTCGGATGAAAGCACTACTTACGCTCAGACACCTAATCAGATGTCTTCACAATAGTCGCTTTGGGTAGTGTCTGTTTTACACAGCCCTGCGAACACGCAGTCGGCACGTGGCCCGCTTGCCTCGTTTAAGGTTTTGTGACGGTCGCGAACCTACTTTTGAGTGACAGAAAGGGCCCTGCAACGGAGAACATTGCGTACTGCGACAACGAAGTTCATGTTGCACACATTGAGTGATCTAGCATTGTGTAATAGCTGCTGGGTATAACACAGCCTATCGTAGAAGTAACCGAAGGATTAACAACTATCACTCTATTTAAGGGGGAGGGGAGGGTAAAATGAGCTGACCTCGAGATCTCACGCTATCGACTTTAAATATTGGCATCGTTTCCAGCCGGACCTGTTCAATTCATCAGAATCCAGCGCGGATCCCAGATTATGTATTCCTAGCTTTTGTCGAATTCACCCGCCGGCTTGTGTTCTCCTTCCCACAAGCTGATCACTTACTTACACCTGCGGGTTGGTCGTGTCCTCTATGAAGACATTCATTTCGCCGTTCACAATCTATCACTGACACAAAGACTCGTGGATTGAGTTGACTGTAAAAATTGAGGACGTCCGAATTGAATTTGCTCCTGTGGAATTTGTGCAGCAGTGCAGGTGTCCAAGCACACCCCGTTTAGTCTTGAGACATAGAATCTGTGCACTTTCCCCCGGTAAGATGTGGTTATGTAACCGCACCTGATGGACACAATACTCCTGACCTAGTTAATTATTTTGAGTTCGTGTGATTACGTTGGCATGGTGTTGCTGTGCGTTGCGGTGTATATTCTGCTGGCGACCTTGTTTCCTTGTTGCCGTGTTTACCTTTTTTGGCCCAATGCTGATGGCCCTTCTTGACTTTCGGCCTGTCATCTCCTTCTAACGTTCGCGTTGGATGTTTCAGGGTTAGGGTTTAGGGCTGCGACTAGGGGTTAGGGTTATGGCTGGGAGTTAGAGCTGAGGGGTTAGGGCGGCTACTTCTCAATCACTAAACGTACAGCCACGCATTCCCAATAGCTTTTCTTCTGCATATAATTACTTGACCTCGTCGCCTGTACGTTCCCCGACCCTACCTGTATAAAGCCCTTTTACCACCGTTCCCGTGTTACATGTGGTTGGGGTTTGGCTTCCTCAGGTGCGGCTGCATAACCATATCTGACCCATTCCCCCAAGGACGATGAATACCTAAAGGGAAAACATGCATGTGACGCTCTATAAACAGCCCGTTAGTATCCATGCTTGCAAAGCATCGGACTCCACAGGCGTGTTTCCTCAGAATCACGAAACCCTTAAGTCGAGCGCTTCTACCCAGAGGAAAATGTGTTGACTTTCTGGACCGGGAACTGCTTCCTAGTCGGTGGCGTTTTCTTATCCCTATGCGATTGAAAAGTCTCTTTTCGGACAATAAATGGCAATGGGATATATGCGATACATAATCCTACCATGTCCTAGGCTCAGTTAGCACACTATCCCTCTAAAAATTAAATTACAGACCAGTTATAACTACTGATTCGAAGCAGTGTAGCTCTGGTTACAACCCTGTCTCACAAAACACTTTATCTTGCCTTCAAAATTAGGTGAATTATGTCAGCTCTGATTGTTTTTTCCACCTTGGATGTTTGTGGTCATTTGAGCCGTACCTCCACACATCCCGTCCAGCTCACTGTCAACTTCAGCCTTCTTTCACCTTTCACCCTCTAGTTGTGAAGATTGTCCTTCTGTGTCTCTGTGTGAAATTCGGTCAGGGTGGTTCTATTGACGCCTTAAAGAACGATCAGTTGAACGACTGCCTCAGCAATTCTGTAGCGCTCGTCTTCAGTACTCTCTCCGCCCGCATTGGTAGGTTCTGTGTTTTTTTACGGTGGCCTCTGTGGCCAGAAGTTGCTTCAGGGTTAACTTTGCAGCATACTCGTGCCTTTTGCCGTGAATTTGCCGCTAGACTGATTTTCCTCCCTCGCCTGTCTCCTGCCTTTCAAATAGGTGCAATTTTTTCATCCGTCTTTCAAACCAATCAATGTGTACTGTGTGCAGACTGCTGTCGTTAGGTTTGCAGGTACAAGCATTACTCGATTTGTCCTGTGGGGCGGACAAACTTTGAGAAACCAAGTACATACCGAAAACCATATGGCGAGCGCTGAGAGAATTCGTGGTTAGCAGAACCCCTTGAATTTGCGCCGTGAAGAAGTACGAATATGGTTATTATGTATTTCTCACGTATATAGTGGTTTCAGAAACGCTGTATCATTTGAAGTATTATGCTGTGTAGCCCGAATTAGTTCATAAGGCTTGACGCAGTGAGAGCGTCTTCAGTTTTCGTTTTTTGATACCGCATCTAATGGGTAGACTTGTTGGTATTATGCCATAAAACAGTAGTCCGTTTCTACCTTTTAGTTATGCTATTCATCTGGCCTCAACATATGGTGACCAGTGTTCGTAATGCCCGAGGTCGCTTCTCTCATGTCGACCTTTGGTTTCCGGAGAAGTCTTTCCTCAGGGAGACGATTTCACTGTATCTTAGCCAAAGCACACGAACACGGGGTTTTATTGTGTTCCTGCATATCGCGTAACTCTCCCACAATCATTTATTAGAAGCAACTGGCCGGTCTGCTGCAAAGTCCAGATATCGTGAAATTATTTTTTTCTGGAATATTTTCGCTTCCTCGTCTTAAACTTATAAAAAGAACATTTCAGAGGGGACGTTTTGTGCTGAGATTAAAGATACGCGTCAACATCTTGTCCGCAAGGCGTTCTGTCGCCATTGTGTGGAGGAAAAACGATAAAACTATTCCGAAGAGTTAGACAGCAAAACCACCAATGATTCCTCCCACATACCTGCCATTTCACTTATAAATAGCCTACTGAAACTGTGAGCCATCTAGAGCTTATTACGAGTATATTCTGCATCAATTTCCGGTGATTGAAGTAAATCCAGCCTCGAGGCGCATTCCTCACGGATCGTGTGCATCCATGAAACCCGTTATGCATATTTTATGTTTATTCTTGATTTTACTACTTCCGTCTGATGAGATTCAGACCTGCAGCTCAGAATGAAGCTCGCTATCACTTCACTAACCTCTTATATTCATTTCCCGATGTCGAACCTTTCCGCAACCTAGACCTTGTTCACGCAGCCAAAAAGTTCTAAAGGTGAATTGAGCGCATTTACTATTAAATACTTCGTTGATAGACCTCGAAACCCAGGGCCATGAACAGACTGAACGAACACCCTGACTAGTCGAGGTCACGTGCTCATGGAACATTTTCACCAATACTAGTCATGAACGATATACATTGATGGTTGACAGAGTCGGGCACTAGTACCTGACTTAGGCTGAAGCCATTACCCCAGCCCCAAAAGCCAGCTAGCCAAATCAACTAAAAACGGTAAATAAGCCAGGAGTGCGTCTGTTTCTGGAGAAATGTTTAGATGTTGTGGGGAGTAGGAAGACAAGGTGGCACCTAGGCCTCGCAATAATGTCTAGATGTTGTGTCTAGATGATGTGTTAATTTGAGGTCTGGAAAAATATTCGTAGTGGGCCCTGATCCAATGAACTGTCTTTTCTATTTCAAATTCACTTTCACGGTTCACGTGACGGCGGCTAATAAACCAGAAACGAGCATTCCAGTCCGCCTCGTCTTTGTTGATAATGCTTTTCTGTAAATGCAGTAGGGTAACCTAACCAATGAATGGTGTTGAAATTCACGAATAATTACTAATCACTCGCAAACCGAAACCAATGGATGGAGCCGATATCTATATTAACAATGAACAACTTTAAGCGAATAGAAAACGCAAAAGAAATTTTGAAGGTAAATGTCATGTTTCTCAGAAAAGCGGTGAATTTCAAAAATGGCAAATGGTTGTAATTGTGTAATTTCTACTTTTAGATGTAAAGAATGTCTGACCATGCAGAAAATTAAGTAAATATGACAGCTTAAATAGAATGGTGTTTGAGAAAAATGAAGTGCTCACCGGATTAAGGGAATTGTATCGCTGACGTATCCGAGATTCGTGGCCGGTTCCCCAGTATCAAATCGCTTAGTGCAAAAATCGACCAGAATTTCGAATAGACGGCCGAATTAGTTGGCCTTTGGCTAATCGTTTTTTTTTCTCTCTCCGTATTGGCCCTCTGACCGTCATTTGTGAATGTTGGTAGCCTCCTGGGTTGTGTGTCGTAACGCCAATTGGGTTCGATTGCGTTTGTGTCCCCCTTTTGGGTGAATTAGTAGACTGGCTCGGATCTCTTACGTTTGCTAACCTGAGAAGGACGTTGGACAATAGTGTTTTAGTGAAGTTGACATCAAAATGTTTACTAAGATTTATGAGCCAAGTTGTCCGGTTATTATCACTCCTTCGTGTCCCTCTCCTTCAGGAATTTTTGTAAAACACTCCAAATGATATACATATTGATGCATGATTCATCAAAGCATATCGCTCCGTAAGATCACGGCATTTTGTATTCGGCTTCCTCTGTATCCTGTTAACCTAGAAGTTCTTTGAAACGCACAAGTTAGGGGTACAGCGCGGTTACTGATTAATTTAATTTTATTATCTGGCGTTTTAACCCTCACTGGCGATTTCTACACATGTTTCACGTCATGAATACCCCGTTAGGGGGGTTGTTTGATTTTTTCGTTTTTTTCGTAATGGTTAAATGAATATTTCGGTTTATAAATATGCCGCTTTATACATCGTAACACAGATTATTTGTGAGAAAAATTGAAAAGGTAGGTTCCCTTTTCTTGACCAATTTATAATCAGGCCAAGATGTTTCGGTACGACTTATCAAGATATTGATACTGTTTCGTTTAGTAGATATGCAGGCATTGCTCTCATAAAGTAAGACGAACTGTGAGTAAACTGGTGGTCTCCAGACTTATGAACATACTAATTCCTCAGTCCTTCCTTATGTGAAGACATCCAGCAACGATAATCGTGCAGAAACTTTTAAATGCGATTTAAGTGCAATCAGCGTGAGATACATCCTTACCAACCATGAGGTGAATCTGAATTCACCACAATGAGCCTAGTCTCTGTGAATAACACTTGAAAATACCATATATGAAGAGAAAGGCATTCACAGTCTCTTTAAAGCAAATGTCTGTCTTCTGCCCTGTCAATTAAAATTCTCACTGTAATGCGCTGCGTTCGGCTTCGAAACATCATTCGAAACTCTGATCATGTGAGGCATTTGCATTAGGTAAAAAATATTCGCGGAAAGAGCTGATTTTTTCGTTCTTTCACATGGCCTTTCGAGTCACACCTAGCACAATACGGTCTACCCACCCCATCCTCATACCAGTTTTGTATCAGAAGTGACAATTCACAGCTTGACGCAAATATTTCCATTGTCTAACCCTTCAGGCTGCCTTGCGGTGTTTCAAGAAGTAGCTAATATCACACCACGCAACTTCCCCACGTATTCTACCACTGTCTTTCACTTTTTAGCGTTTCGGTCGTTGACACTTTGTCCCACAGTGTTGCTATTTTAATCTCTTGGGCTAGCGATGGAGGCTCCAAGAGCCCTATAGGATTCTGAGGCTTGTCTCTGTTTCCGTCCTCCTTCCTTTCCGGACAGCCGGTTAATTTGGGGACAACAGTGGAGCCATGTTTATTTATGTAAGCAAAGTGGTGTTGACTACGGAATTTCAGTTTTTTTGAATGAAAATGACTCCATCTCTCCCCATCTTTCTAAAGAATGTTCACGCACTTGCCCAATTCGCTTATTTGGACCTGACTGCTTCTCCCTTGGATTGTGACAATGCTGTGTAATCCCTTACTAATAAGGACCGCCAGCGTTCCGCGGTCGCAACAGTGGCCGCAAAAGCCAGTGATGCCGCAATGGCGCGCTTCTACGGCCTACCAAAGGTCCACAATCCGGGAGTGCCGCTACGCCCCATCGTCTCCTTACGTGGTACCCCAACCTTTGGGTTGTCAAAGTGGCTGTACCAGCGACTTTGTTTCCTTACCAAGGATTCAGAGTGGACAGTGAAGTCGGCTGAAGAGTTTTTGTCGCGCATCAAACGTCTCGAATTGGAGGCAGATGAGGTGATGGTGTCTTTTGACGCGATCTCATTGTTCACCTCCATCCCACCCGCGCTGGCTATCAACACTATTGACGGTTTTCTCCGGGAAAAGTATGATGAGACCGATCAACAGTTCAAACGAGTTCAAATCATCGAGCTCCTAGAATTATATCTTAAGACGTTCTTTACATTAAATGGCCAGGTCTACGAGCAAAAGAAGGGGACACCGATGGGCTCGCCTCTATCTGGATTAATTGTCGAGGCGGTTTTGCAGAGGCTTGAGCGGCTGGTCTTCAGCTCATACCCCCAAAATTCTGGGCCAGATACGTCGACTACCCTTTCGTTATCATCAAAAGGAGCGATGTGCAGACTTTCAAGACACTGTTGAGTTCAATCATTCCCGACATCCAGTTTACTATGGAAAAAGATCTCAACAATCAGCTGGCCTTCCTTGACGTACAAGTGACAAGTCTGGAGGACGGGAAGATAAGAACAACGATCTACCGTAAGGCAACTAACACCAGGCGAATCCTCCACTTCAAGAGCAACCACCCCGTTGGTCACAAACGCAGTTGTGCCAGGACCCTCTTCCAACGCGTTCAAACACACTGCAGCGACGACAATGGGAGGAAGGAGGAGATTAAGTACTTGCACGCCCTATTTAAAACCGACGGTTATCCAAAGTCCCTCATACGCAAGTGTCTTAAGAAGCCCCACCCTGATCGGTCGGACGGAGAAAACCTGAAATTTTGGCTCGCAATACCTTATGTGAAAAACGTGTCAGAGGCGACGGCAAGAATCCTGAAGCCTTTCGGGATCGCAGTGGCTCATAAGCCAGAGTCAACAATCAGGCAGCAAATAATGAGGCCCAAAGACCCGCTACCGGTGACAGAACAATTAGCGGTGGTCTACAGCATACCATGCCAAAACTGTGATGCAAGGTATGTTGGTGAAACGGGCAAACGTCTTGGCACAATATTGCATGAGCACCAGCTTGCAATCAACCGCAAGGACAAATTGTCTATGATTTATGGCCACGTCAAACAGCGGAACCACAATTTCGCCTTTGAAAAGGCAAGGGTAATTGACCGAGCCAATGATAAGATGGCCAGACTGATGCTCGAAAGTTGGTCCTCGATTGGCACACTCAACAGAGCCATAGATCTGCATCCCGCCTATCAGGCGCTACGCACAAGGCTTGAGTCAGTGCGGACAAGGCCATCAGGACAGTCGAGCAAAGTGACGCGTGGCCGACAGCCGATGTCAGCAGAAAGCGGGAGAGAAGCCGGCCGGGGGTCATGTGACCAGCATGGGACGCCATCGCACCGCGACGCCCACGAGGCTGAGGTCAACTCACATGAGCCGCAACAACTGATCAGTCCGTTGAGTGACGAGGGGGAGGCCGACAAGAATGCTGCCTCGCCAACAATTACGACGTCCGCAAAGGGCAGGAGCCCACCGGCGGTCAATCGTGGAGAGGTCAGCGCTAATCGGCGGCAAACGGGCAGGTCCTAGTTCGTGCCTCGCGCACGGATATAATACCAGGCAGGTATCAAGGCTGACGCAATCAAGACCAGCAGGAACAGTCAACACATTACTCTGATGATGGAAACGAGAGGGTTTCCGAAACGTCAGTACAAATATAACTCGGTCCATGAATTCGCCCTATCTTCTTCGGGGGATGATGAACGCGATACTAATTAGTTTATAATGAGGGAAGCATACATATCTGACTTTTCTCTTTCTCACACTCACGAATCGACGTCTACGCGTATCGCGCACATCTCAGTCATCAGATAATCCGTGAGGAGTGGTTGTGTCGTTATGTTTTCGCGAATATGGCTACTACCGCCCATGTGACATCACCAGTATCCCACGAAACCTGGTGATTCGAGGCCTTAACAACAGGAGCGTTAAACTATGCAGCGCCTGCCACGAAATCATCACTCTCTGGTCCATACACTTTTTGAAAGAATTTCTCTTAAACGCAAATACAATTATTTGCAAAGTTGGAAGGTATTTGAAGATATAAGGAGCTTCTCTTTGTATCCCTTTCGTAGCGTCCGTTTATCTACTATTTCCTTATATCGCTGTACGAGCAGTATTTTAACATGGGAGAAGAATGCTCCGAGTGATCCAGCTCACTCGCTTTGAACCGGATATTCGGAATCGACAATTCACTGTTTCCGTGTATTTCAAGTACTCTTGACTAGCTGGAAATAATGTCGTAACCTTCATCCTATTGCGTTCTGTATGCCAGCAGATATTATTCGAGCATGGCTGTGGAGGGTGTCGATTGTAATTTTTTTGGAAAAGTTATTGGGCATGTGCTAGATTATTATTATTATCTCATGATAAGGCGACCGTTCAGACCTCTGAACGGAGTTAACCCCAAATGTTGGACAAAGTCAACGCAAAACGACAAACACAACCTAACTCGGTCTTTCTGTTTTTCAGAGAATGTACCTTACCTCAAGTACCTCGATCCGGTTGGTGCCATCCTCATCGGTTCCTACATAATTTACAGTTGGTGGAAAATGGGTGCTGGTAAGCTTCTGTCTGTCCCTGCAGTCACATGGATAGCATTATTTTCCTATATAATTGCCTGCCGACCTCAGTAGCTTGGAGTGAGCTTGCGCTCCGCCTTATCTTTCTTCCTCAATACCTTCCCCGTGAGACAAGCATGTCTATTTGAACGCATGGTTATGGAAGACACTTAGTCCTTCAACTAATTCGCCCAATCGATTTTCTCGCGTCACAAAACCCAACGTAATCCTTCGGTGTAGTTGCTATGATCATCGTTGAGGGGTGGTTTTCAGAGGGGGAAGAGGATAGCGCGTTTTCACTTGTATTTATTGCAAATAACGATAAAGGAATCGCACCTAACGCTGTGGCATAAACAAAGGCCTAAAGTTCGAGTCAATTTGAACACATCCTCATCCGGAGTACCTTTCACTAGTGGTTTGTCTGACTATCGTTAAAAATGTTGTCTACAGAAGAGAAAGAAATCTGACTGACGGCAATTATGAGGGTATGAATGATGCGTTCAGGTATGGGCGTGACGCATGTTGAACCAGGGATAAAACGTATCAGGACGATTGCATGCGTCCACTAAAGGCTCATGAATAAAAGAAGAAATATAATCGTTGGAAACAGTTCATTTCGATTAGTCGGTCCGCAGTTGGCCGGAGAGTTTTTGACCGATTACGCGGTCACCCAATTATCTGGAAGTTTTGTGGCCAGCCGCTAAATATGCTACGCCTGAATGCGCGGGCTTTTCCCTCCTTATTTTCTCGTCTTTGGAGTGTTCCTCGGCGTCAGCCAAGCAAAACTCACTTCTTTCGCAGTTCGTACTTTTGTCGCATCACACATGTCCTCGTGACTGGAAGCTGACGACGACTACTGTCGAGCTGTTGGTTTCGCGTCTTGTGCAGTAGGGGCCGTAAGTACCCTGAGCCACAAGTACAACATTTAAACTACTCTCTGACCTTGTCTTTCTACATTCTGATTTGTGACGGTTACCGAACGAAGTAAATGAATTGATTTTCCGGCAACCGTATAGAGAAGGACTCCACTTAACTGTCGGTAGACTGTGGATCGTGCCATACGTGATTTATGGTAAAGGGAATTTTATGGGTGGGGCAGCACGCTAGACAGTAAGCCGACAAAATGAAAGAAAACACAAAAGTTGGCTGGATTTATGCCGAAAGTCTTATACCACGCTATTGTACGATAGCGGAAATGTGAGTAGTAATTAAACAGTTAACAAAAAGAAAATTTCACAAAATAACGGATTTTAAGTTAAGATGTGAGTTCATGGGAAGTAATCGTTGTTGGCAGTGTAATTTCTGCAACAGCCTGCAAATGTATGCCAAGATAAAACCCTATATGGCACGATCCGCACTATACTGACAATTAAGTGGGGTTCTTCTCTATACCGCAGCGAATTTTTCGAACAGGCGAAGTTACTTTGTATTACGTACTATCTGTTGTCGATCTTAAACATTTTGTTAGTGAGAACGACTGATTCTGTTAAAAGCCGTTTCCATTGACACTGTTGAGCATGGCCTATATCCCTTTATAATCTGAAAACATAGAACAGGTTTGTTAGAGTAACCAACAAAATGTCCCCAACCTCTTCTGTCGTTAATTACTGGGACTTATCACCGTTTAGATTAAGAAGGAAAAAATTACCCGCACGTCAAGAAGCAGCACAGTATCGGAGCAATTTATTTATAGGAAGGCCTCTCAGATCACTATTTCCAGCATAATGCCTAGTTGTTCGTTAGAGCTATGTAAGGTGCATTTCATGAGTTAATTCAAACCAGTGAGTTCATAAACTCTCGGGGGACTGGTGAACATGCAATTGGACGAAAGGGTTTCGAACCTAAATTGTCGCAGTTTGGAAAGTAGTCCCAATATTAAAATAAACGTCAAGGAGGTCGGATCTTATTTCGTAGCCGCATCTGCAGTAGCCTTAGCTGCCTGTCGTACGGGACCGTTGGTAATAGGCGGTTCAACACTAACCCCCAGCCCCCTTGTTGAATCCAGCTGGTAAACGCTTGGAATTCTCCACGCCTTCCTCGCAAGTGCTTCCACATTTGGCCCCTGTTGACACTCGCCTTCCCCTTTTTTGTAACCCTCTTTCGAGCGTGATCGGCGTCCTTTTAATTAAGTAGTTTTTGTATTCTGACCTTGAGCTCGGAATTCGATTTACCCGAACAGTAACAAAGGAATTCTTTGTCTAGGGTATCCATTGTTGAGGTTTGTACGTTTTTTATTACTACCTTATTTTATCAATGGTACCGCATCTACACTGAATTCTGCGTTGGCTTATGCGCGTGACTCAATTTACCAAGAATTCTTCATCCCTAACAGGTGCGTCTGCGAAATAAGATCTTACCATCGAAGATTTCGTCGTGCAAAAAACGTGCGTTTTCGCGACATTACGTCAACATATGAACTGAAAGCATGCTTGAGGTCAAGGCATGACCTCAGTGTCAATTACGACGTGCCAAATGAAGAAGAGGCGTTCACCGAGGGGATAACATGGGTTAAGGCCGCGCACTGTTCCATTCGTCCCCTTGAAAGACTCTATCTTATGTGTTAAAAGTATTGGGTGACAATTGTGTTACAAGCACTGGTATCTGATTTTCTGGGGAATTATTACTGCTGCGTAACGGCCGACCGATCTCTGGAGTCCAGACCCCCGATGGCCCGCTTATCCATAATCCGCTGTACGGGCATACCCACCAAAATCGCCTAAGGATATCTATATATCCGTAAATTTGACGAAGCATATAATAAGTGACCTTACTCATTAAATATGCCTGAATTGACACAAGTTAAATTACTCTCCCTCCAAAGGAAAAGCACACGTAGGAGAGCCTTGACGTAGGAAATTGCCTGAATATATCTTAACGCAGATTTCCGCCCAATTTTATGTATATTTTGCCTGATGAACTTACTTCGACATACTTCGAAAAAAGAACATTTTCAGGAAGAGGATGAGCAAATAAACAAAATGCGCAACGTTTTAGGTGCCAGAGAATCATCATATCCGTGTGCGTAATCATGCTCCATGAGTTAGGTCACATACTGTACATTTGGGCTTGTTTTGTCTTGCGTCAGGAACGTGGTTGGAGATCTCCAGAAAGAAACGTTTCCGTAAATCTCTCTTACATTCAAGTCGGCCCACGGTTTGTGAGCAGCTGCTATGCCGTGATCAGCAAACCATGGCCCTCGTAGCCTGGTGTGCCTGTTACCTGGTTCTCTGGCGGTAGATGCGCTTGCGCTCCCGCTGGATGCACAGGCAGTGAGCATGGCTGCCCGGTCATATTCGTCCTTCCTGTTGTTGTTGTTGTTGTTGGTCAAAATCCTGGTCAAGGGTTTGTTGTGAGCCGGGGGGTGTGAAGTGGAGCGTCAAGGTGCGAGTACAGCTGTGTCAGCCAGTCGCACCCTCTCCCGCCTCCAGTCTTCTTGACTATGTCTTGACACCGGGCTACGGTGAGAAGGGAGGACAGAGTGTGGCAGATGCTTTGCAAATCTACTCTCACTATAAACCAATTGACGCGCAAGACTCTGTGCCTGTTTCACCTTATTGTGGAGCACACGGTGGACATCGTTGGATACGATGGTCGAACTATCAAAGTCAGCCCGCTAATTTCAACTTTATTCTCATTTGGCGCTTGCTATCGAACGTGGTGTTAGTGCGAGCCTTGAAGTCCAGGCCGCTTCCTGTCCGAATCCAGTCACTTCCTCTTCGGAAGCATGGATTCGATTTCTCACGGCACTAATCCCCTTTTAACAGACTAATATTTGCCGTTTGCTGTAAGTCAGTGGCTATTATTTTTTTCAATTCACTTCATTGCAGAGCAAACTCGCAATCTCTCAGGGTACAGCGCCAGTCCGGAATTCCTTCAAAAAATTACATTCATATGTGTCAACCATCATCCATCAATTGAACGACTGGATACTGTTCGTGCATTCCATTTTGGCAGCAATTTTATGGTTGAGGTGTGTAGACGTTTTTTTTAAAGTTCTTTCTCGCCACACTTATATCTTATGATTGCATTATAGTCTTTTGATAACATGCTTCCGATCTTCTATGCCTCCTTTTTGATATGCACCGTGTTGTGTCCAGGATGGTATTCTAATAACTAAAATCACAAGTCCCATGAATCCACTGAGTCGGTATATTTGAATTCTTTTCTCCACTTTATCAATTTCTTTTTCTACCGCCCCATTCCTTTAGTAATATTTTCAGTGATTTCGTCTATCCACATCGCATGCCTATCTAAGGTATGGTCACAGTCACCTTGGTTGTGGTGTGGTCGCTGCCATGCTTTCTCCCGAAGTCTAGGCCTAACTGATTCCAGAGGGAAGAGTATGAGTTTGAGTTGGCTACGGTGGTAACGGTCAAGTTTCCCTAGGGTTGCAAATGTTTCTGAGATGTGCTAGTTAGTTACATTTACAGAGAAGCACACAAAGGGCGGTAGCTTCCTTTATACAGTAGTCGCGTTTTTTTGGAAATAGGGAGGTAAACTGACTTCACCTCCTGCATTTCCACTTTTTTCATAAATAATTCGTCTTCGGTGGCGGAATTCCCTGTCGCTGTAATTGTTTTTTATGTGTGTGAATTATGAAAAACAGTACTCTGTCAGCAGTCCCGTTGACCCGTAACAGAACCGCCTGACCATACGCGTGACCGAAGACACTTCATTGATCGTAGGCCTTTTGAACTTTCAGATCTGACGCCCTTTAGGAGGCTCAGCTGCGCTTAGAGGGCAAGCATAAACCACATCTTACGGGGGCACTGTTGTTCAAGTAGCTAGTGAAGAGCGCTTTAAATATGTCCATTCTTGGCTCAAAAGATAGCATGCTGCACATCCGAGACATGGTAGGTTCGGTCACTGAGTGTTGGCCTGCGGGCAGGGGGCTGAATTCTCATAGACTACAGAAGCGACCATATTGTCATCCTTCCATAAAGCTGTCCGCCTGCTGCTTTTCAACTACGATACACGAGATCTTGTCCCCGTATATTGTTCCCACACTCTTAAGGCTTTCCTTAGTCCGTCCTGCGTCCACCTGTTAGTCGGAGCTCTACTCTCACCCACCTTGCCTTTATAGCTACGGGGCTAAGTCAAAGTGCAGTGCTTCTGATGGCTTACCGCTCACCGAAAAACAGAAGTTGTTACTTGTAATCTCTCCAAGTTGCATTGTTTATTTCTGATTCAACCCACTCGTTTCATCGGGAGAAACCTTATTTTAGAAAGAACTCTCTTGGCGGAGACCTAGGTTACACCTGCTTAACGACGGCTCACTTTCGATCGCGACCCACTGTTTGTATTGCAGTTTCAAACTAGAGACTATGTTCTGGCATAAGCAGTTAACAAAACTAAACATGTTTTAATAATTTTAACCCATTCCACACAGTCCGGGAAAAATAAATGTTGAGTGAGGCAAGATGAAACCTTCCAAGTTTTAGCGGGTGCTCTGTTTCCTGTACTAGACCAACTGCGCTGTAAGCTGCGTAAATTAGTCGGCTAATCATGTTATGATAAAACTGTTCTAGCAATTCGAAATCATAGCCAACCTCTAGCAGCTGACCCACCGTTTGCACTTCTTTTAGGTGGACATTGTTTTGCCGAAACATATGGATCTCCATCAGGCTCACGACATTGGTGAGACCCTTCAAAAGAAGTTGGAGAGCATGGAAAACGTGGAACGGGCTTTTGTGCATTTGGACTATGAGTTTACACACGATCCCCTTTCAGAACACAAAGTCGCTTGATCCTTGATGTTGAATTTTTACACATTCCTTTTGGTATTTTAACACATCCAATTGATTTTTAAACCTACGCCGAACTACTTTTATGATTTATTTATATTTGAGTTTCAAGTACCTTTGTGCTCTTGTGTGTTTATACGCCACCGCATCATTCATTCTTTTCCGGCGCACAGACCTTGAGCGTCCCGTGTGCCTGTCATCCAAAGACAGCATTTTTTCAGAAGACCAACCAATAAAAAATATAACCAGGTCATTTTACCATCCCCTTCTACTCGGCAGAAAAAACCTTCGGCATGCTACCCAGTCCTGTCTGCCATTCTTTCTAACGGTGTAGACAAAACCGGTTTTCGGGAAAATGCAAATTTTCAGAGTCACGCGAACCTATTTTGATAAAATGCAGTGGTAAGCAGTCTTGTTGTTGCTGTTTTCCAAATGCACAGTCATAGGGGGCAACGATCGGGTGAAGGACCCCAAAGCCGAATGTTCCTGTCTTACGGAAAAGGTAGTAATAGGGGTTTTACGGGCGAGGCCTATGTATGCATAGAGCACTGGCAAAATGAGTAAAGATAATTGGTAAGTTCGTTTTTCGCGCGGTAAACTTTTAATGCATCGACATATGGCAACCGAAATTAAGCAGGACAATTAAAAAAAATCTGCACTAAGTGTCTACAACTATCGCTTCTCAACGCTCTGAGCTGAGTTCACTGTAGATAATGCACCAGACAGTCTACAACAAACGACTCAAACTTGTACGAATAAATACCAGACGGAAATAGTCGTGTTGGCCTAAAACCCACTTGAATAAATATCGTGGGTATTCTTTATATGCCACGGATGCTTGGAGACCTTCACCCGCTCCTTACCAAAGGAGTTCAAGTTCCTGAGACAAGTAGTTTGCCTCACCTACGTCACTACTTATATAACGGGTAGCAAAAGATAGATATATGTGGTCTGTCGAGAAATGCCAGGAACAGGCATCGACACGGTTCGTTAGTCTGTGCCTATTTTGACGACTGGGAGTCGTGTCTTCTGTGAAGGAAATTTCTTAGGGGAAGTTGTTATACCTCCTCCTCCTGCTGGTGAATTTTTCTACTTATTTACGACAATCCCATCGTAGTTTTCTACGATGTTATCCGTGTGCCCCACAGGGTTGGCGCGGGGGTTGTGATGTGCGTGAATTAGTTTATAGTGATGATAGAATTCGTAGCACCCACCTCACTCGCCTCCCCAGCCTACTGAGCTCAATGTCAGGACAAAGGCAAGAAGACCACAGGTGGGATCGGGCACGTTGGCTGGTAGGACTGGGACAGCCCGTCTGCACCTACCACGCATATCTGGTCCGCGCATATCGGATCAATATTTCACGAAAAGAGCAAAGGATCGGCTCGGGTAACTGAGTGGGAGTATCACAAAGGCCACATTAAGAACGCATTGCTGCCAGACTCTCCGTCCTGACAAGAGGACCGAATTATATTGTCAGCTAGCAGCCTTCCAAACCGCGGCTTTTAGCGCACCGTGACAGCCCATCAGATTGTTTATAGTGAGGAGCATGCACTGGAAATCGACCTCTCCTCTCCCAGGTACTAGTCCTCTTTCCGAGTCGTTCGGTTGTCCGGTGCTGGATTGGGCACAGCGGTTGACAGAGAGCCCGACTGCGCGCATCACACACACGGCCTGCCTTCCCTCCCCCCCCCCCCGACAGAAAACACTAGGACTCCACACAAATGGGGTGTCCGGCTCGGATCTTACAGGCCTTAGAGTAGCCGAGGGGTCACATGGAGAGGCAGCCGAATATCAGGCTTCCCGCTTAGGCGGCGGAAGCTTGTTCCGTGCCAGAGGTGGGTGATGGGGGACGGGTTCGTGTGTGTTGGCCTGCGGTGGTTAACTGCATATGCCCGCGTAGACTCATGCAGTGGCTGGATTTGCGCGGGGAGTGTGGGAGAGGGGGTTGAGGCAGTGGCGACGGATGTGTGTTAGAGCTCCTGCCACTGGTTCGCCAGTCTCAGGGCAGCGGATTCGTAAGCGATCGACCAGGCCGATGCGTGGTGTGTGTGTGCGACGAAAGTATGGACAGGATTGCTCGGGAGCCGCTGAGTCGGTTGCAGTAGTGATGCTGCTAGTGGTGGCCGCATTCCTGGATGTTGAGTTGGTAATGTCGAACATGAGAGCGTTGCCGGGTGTACTAGGTGGGCTAGGATGTTGCTTAGGTCAATTACGCCGCAATGGATGCACATCTGACCGAATAGGCCCGTAATCTGAATGAATGTGCGTAAGCAGTGGGGGCGAGTGTGCCGGGCATATGTCGTGGCTGTTCGCATTGGTTCGCTAGTCTCAGTGCAGTGGATTCGCAAGTTACCGGCCAGCCAGGTGCGTGAGTTGAACGTTCGATCGCAATGAGGACAGGCTGGGATCGAATCGACATTGTTGGCGATGAGGGTGAGGGTTGACGCGCCAGTTCACAGTGATGCGAGGGTTGAGCAGTTGGCCGTCCGTACTGTTGGCGATGCGGATCCCAGGGCGTTCGTCACGGTATGCGTCCATCAGCATGGCAGAGAACATGAGAGTGAAGGGGGTAAACGCGAGAACACAGCCCTGCTTTACTCCGTTGGTTACTTTGACTGCCTCTAGGACAGTTGCATTGTCCGTGACTAGCGCCATCATGCCGTCATAGAGCTGACGCATCACCTGAGTGAATCATTCAAGATAGCCGAATTTCTTCATGGTTTTCCACAGTCCTTCACGATTCGCCGTATTTAAGGCTTTTGTCAGATCCACTAAGGTAGAGTAGAGGCGGGTCCGCGTCTCCTGACACTTCTGCAGTTGACGGGCGGCGAACATCATGTCCGTGGTTCCACGATGCCGACGGAATCCACACTGGCTTTCTGGCTGGAGATCCTGTTCGCGATGTTTGTTCAGACGGTTGAGAAGGATGCGAGCGAAGATCTTCTCGGTGATGTTCGACAGGAAAATGCCTCGGTGGTTGTCACAGATTTGGCGGTTCCTTTTCCGCTACTAGAGATGCACGACTGTGGCGATTGTGACGATCGGATAGCCGCTGAGCTAGCTCAATGCTGAAGTGCAGATGGTGGCAGGCAAAGACAACAAAGCAATATTCAGCTTACCTGGGAGTCGCTTGCCTTGAGGTTTTACTGCGAGGCCGTAGACGCATCCGCATCTCGGAGATGACGAGGCGATGGTCGGTCCCCCCGTCAGCACTCGAAATCACCTTTGTCACCAGCACATCCCGCCGGTATCGCCTCCGGACGAGGACAAAGTCTAGCAGGTGCATCCTGGTGGCCTTCTTTCGCATCGGCAGGCGGAATTATGTGTTGGTCAGGACGAGCAGGTGTTCTGCGCAGGTTCGAGGGAGGAGCAGGCCATTGCGTTGAAACTATACAGACCACGGGGACCCAACACTCCTCTCCAGGCAGCATGGTCTGAGCCGGCGCGAGCGTTGAAGTCACCAAGGACAGTCGGCTTATCGGCCATCGGCACAGAAGTCAGAAGGGCGTGCAGGTCCTCGCTTAATTTATTCCTCCCGTCGTCGGGGTGGGTCGTCGGGAGAACGTAGACACTGATGATGGTGGCGAATTTGCCGCCTCGAGAGGCAGGCCGGTCTCATCAGACGTCCGTTGATGTCCTGGGGCAGACAAGGCAGTCGTCCCACGATGTCGTTCCGGATGGGAAAGACAACGCCCGCGTCCCGTCGGTCTGCCTTAGGACGGCCGTCCCAGAAGAAAGAGTAGCCAGAATCAACCTCCTCCAGTTTACCTTGTTCGGAGAACCGGGTTTCGCAGCGATTTTCACCTTGTGGACCGCCAGTGCCCGAGCGACTAGCACCATCCTCCATTCCGGTCGGTTGCCCCTCAGATTGTCTAGAAGGGAACAAAAATTCCAGACTGTCAGAGTGGGCGGACTCACCCTACCAGTCTGGCGAGTGGAGCGGCGGGAAGAGGGAGCGAGAAAAGAGTGTGTGTTGTTCCGATTTTGTGTGTTTCGATCGTGTTTTTTACGTCTACTTCCATGGTCCGTAGGAAGACGGCGTGCTTACCCAGCATCCGTTTAGAGGACCTTTTCTAGCCCTCTCGCCTCGCGGGGGTAAGCAGTGATCTCCCCAACTAGGGCTGCTGAGTTGTCTCAGACGGCTGCCGAAGGCCACTATGGGCTATGCCTTTGCTTAGTGGGAGAGAGATCCGATTTAGCCTGGGACATCCTAGGACATCGCGTAAGCTGAAGGGGGAGGGGAGCGTAGAGAGACGGAATGCAGAGATTTCTCGTCCCTCTCTAAGCTAACCTGGTTGCTGACAGATAAGCGCTGAGCAGACGAATTCAGCAGAACGACATATAACTTACAGTATGAAAGGACACGAACAAGCGGACAAAAGCAAGCAGACACGGACAGTGCTGCATTTAGTTTTTAAATAGGATAGACACTAAAGTAGACAGAGAGGAGGCAAACAAGAACAAGCGAGGCAAAGGCAGCAGAGCAACGATCGCTTACCTAGAGGCTCACTTACCTTGTGGCCTCCCGCAGTGTTCCAGACGGCGCCTCGTCTCGGCGATGCCGATTCGATGATCTATCCGGCCAACCGAGATTACTGTGCGTGAAGATGCCCACACGGATACCCTCACATGGTTTAGCCGGCCAATAAAGGCGGTTACCTGGGTGTAACCGATAGGCAGAGCCTAGCTTCGATGAGCCACAGTCGAGAGTTGGGTGCCAACAAGTGGACACTAGGCGTAGTCTACACCTGCAAGCAAGCGAGCGACCTACTACGTCCGTCGCGTGGACACACCACTGTACACCCCTGCACCCCATAAAAGATACAGACACCGACAAATAAGTTAACATGATCGTCTTAGTGTTTCTGTCCTTGTTGCAATAAATTTTCGAATACTGAGTACATTTTATCAAAAGGCCACTTTATACTTGCAACCATATGCAGCCTCTACCGGTTGTTGATCAAGGGTTTGGTGTAGTGACTGAGCGACGCAACCTGATGTTGTGGCAACATCGTAAACATGAACAAGCATCTGGACTTTTGGAATCCCAGTCCAAAAGGCCAAATGCATGCGCACGCTTGTGTTAGCAGAAAAAAGAGGGACGGCCAGACGGGCGCAAGTTCAACTGAATCCTGCATGACAGGCCAAGGGAATAAGCAAGCTACCAATAACACTTGTGATGAGTCATCCTACAGAACAGCCTTGTGGCTGAAATCGGCTGAAGCAGGGGGTGACCGCAGTGGAGGGAGGAGGACAAAGGCAGCGACTATTGTGACGATCGATAATTTCCTGTGCATTGATTAATTCAAGTTACCGTCGTCTGGTATGCCCACGTTTTGACGCCGGCCGCATCTGCCCAGCCTGGATGCTGGGGTCAATATACCATGGCATTTATGAGTCTTCTTCTCTGGAAACTAAAACTTAACACAGCAAGAAGAAACTTCGTAATTCATTTATAATAACTATAAGAGCCACTGGCAGCAAATAGCAATCTTTTCCATAGCATTTGTTCAAACTGTTTAACATTTTGCATCTTACACAGATTGCAGCGTCTGCAGAAGCTTGAATAACATTTAAGGAACACGTCTTCATTGATGTTGGTTAATTCATGCCAAACAGTTTCTTCGAGCTTGTTGAGCGTTTGTTAATGGTTGTGCATTGAATAAACTCAGTAGTTGACATGATTCCAGAGCCAAGAGGTCTATATCGTGAGGTTCGGAGATAACGGTGGCTATTTCTTGGACTCTCTCTGACCAATCTGTCATAATGAAAATGTTGATCGGTTCACTATCGTGCCGGAATACTGAAATACGGGGGACACCAGGGTGCTGACTCATCAACAACAGTTTTTCATTCATTGCAATAATGTGCCGTTCTTTGTACATTGCTTTACAACTGATACTGAAGGTCTAATCAAGATCATACTAAAGAGCCACCCGAGCGGTTAGCACCGGTGATGTAAGAGGTACAGATAACATAAAAATCCGTTCTCTTCAGCTTTATAAAAGACATCCTGCTTTTGTACAAAACTGTTCGGAGAAATACAAGCTCCATCCGAGTAAAGATTTTTTATGGAAATTGATATTGTTTCTGCGGCAATACAGAAGCAGAAGTCAACTCTCCTATCGGCATCATTTTCTACCAACGCTTGGTTCAAAGAATATTTTAATCATTTCGCTAGGAATATAAATGTATAGGCCTAATGAAAATTTAACGAAAGCTTATGTATGCTCTCCAAATAGTCTTTTGAATGTTTGGACAGTTTCATTTTTTCTTGAGTTATCACTGAACAGAACGTTGTTAAATCATAAACCTTCGTGAAGTTTCTCGTTGATTTGCGCCATCAGTCCCTTTGACGAAACTTACCACCTTTCCTTTCACGGTTTCATCAGACAGTAAGGATAGGTATAACTAGCTACTATATTTGTTTCAGTAGGCCTATTGAGCTTGGACATTCATATCTACTGGGAATCTCACTCGGAGCGTTATCTGACGTATTCGAATAACCGCATGCAGCGAATTGTTTCAGTCTGATCCTATTGCTGATGAATTACTTTGCATGTGGTTGTTTTCAGCTCTCACTCCCCCTTGCCAGTAACCTGTTGTACCTTACTAGATGTGCACATGTCCACGCCGCGTCAGCCATCTGCGTCCAATATGTGCATGAGATAGCTGGCAGGCTCGGAGGGTAGTCTGGTGCTTGGGAGAGGGAAGAGAACGTGAGGTCGACTCAGATGATTCCCTCTCCAGGGTACTTACTTGATTTTCTTTATTACAACCAAGCTGCGCGCATTAAAATTACCACGGTGCGCTAAATGCTGCGGCTCGGAAAACTGTCAACTGACGAAATAACTCGTTTCTCCCCTCAAGACTGATTCAGACTGCAAATACTCATTAATATGGCATCCATGGCATTGCCAGCGTTTTGGAATCAGAGCCCCTGTTTCTGCTTCTGTGAAAACCTGGCCCATCATACGCGGACCAGGTGTGTTTGGCACGCGAAGACGGCTGTTTACCTTCGTCAGCCCTCGTGCCCGATTCCGCTTTTAGTCTTCTTGACTCCATTTTGACATCCGGGCTCAAGTGAGTGAGGGAGGAGAGAGTGCGATGGATTCTGTGCAATTCCACCATCACTATAAATTACCTCACGCACAAGTCACCGTTCCTGCTCCCACCTTGCTGTGGGGCACACTGGTGCCTCGTCAATAACGGCGGTTGAACTACCGGTAGGGCCCCTACGCGTTCCGCGTCTGCTTGCAAGGGCAATGACGACTTTAGTGCTAACTAACTGATCAGAGTTACTCTCTGTTGTGAGTATTTGGGCTTCTCCCAAACCTTGGTGATCAGACACAACTTCTATTCTTCCTCACATGGCTTTCATCCTTTTGCGTGACCCTCCTTCCCAGAAGGGAAAGAATTGCACAGTCCTGGGACTGCGCAACAACAAGGTACCCGGGAATGATGCCATCCAGGCTGAAGCCTATTAATTCGGTGATTATACCCTAGCGTCCCGAATACAGGCCATGATAACACAGGCACGCGAGGCGGAATCATTCCCGCTACTACCCAATTTCCAGTCTACAAAATCCTTACTAATTGTTTAACACAGCTGGAACTAATTGATCGTTGTGTTTAGATAGGCAATTAAGTACATTCTTGGAAGAGCCACGAGCGTTGTTGTCCTTGATAGGGGGCGCTCACCGATCGTTCTTACGGAACTCACTCGTTCCGTTGTGCCTTATGAACTCTATCGAGCCCAACCAGCAGCCGCACAGCGGCGCATGATATATAGGCAGAATGGCATTACCGACAAAGACAAGGGAGACTGGAATGGCCATTTCTGGCTTATTAGGCGTCGTCAGCCAGTCATACCCAACCCCGAAGTTTGGCAAACCCAGAAGTGGCCATTCCAGTCTCCCTTATCTTTGTCGGTAATGCCATTCTGCCTGTATCATGCGCCGCTGTGCGGCTGCTGTTTGGGCACGAGAGAGAGTGCATAAGGCACAACGGAACGAGTGAGTTCCGTAAGAACGATCGGTGAGCGTCCCCTACTATTGTATATTACCGATCGAAAACCGACAGGGCAACGGGCTCGTGGCTCAGTGGTTAGAAGCGTGGACTTCTAACAAACAGGTCGCGAGTTCGAGCCTCGGGTGTGCCACACGTCGGGGTTGGGTATGACTGGCTGACGACGGCCAATAAGCCGGAAATGGCCGTTGTTGTCCTTGTTAAACTTTTACCTGGATGCCGGCTGACTGGCCTCTCCCAAACTCAGGGCTTTATCCAGCTAAGAGGGCGCACGGGACTCAATGGGTCGATCAGCCGATTAATTTACCAGTGACATCAATATCAAGGTATAAGGTAGTCATAATAAAGATTCTACGTAACCTATTCGCTGTGGACGAAATCTTTGTTTGAAATGATTCTATTTGTGGGAATTCTACGTGACTTAGAAACTGCATGTTGAGCAATAAACACATGGATCTGTACGGTTATTTTACTTCTGCGGTTGTGCACATGCACCTGTGAACATTTAAAACCAAGGCGGGAAGTTTACGAATATTGTTGCTTGAAAACGATGCATTGAGCGAACAACACCGATTTTATGTTGAAAAAGACGGTCAACATTCGCGGCAACAACTTGTCGGGGATGCCGTTGGTCATCTAAGAAAGATGGCTTAAGTAGCCTGTGTAGGTCCTTGGTAGCCTGCCCGTGAGTGCGGTGTCGTTGGTTAAACAGAAGCGTCAATGAGTAGTCCAGCACAAAACCGAGCCCGGGAATATCCCGTAACACGCGAAGGTCATACTTGGACGTCCAGTAAGTGGTCTTCGTTGCTAGAGAAGGGAATCGGTTAAACTTACCAGATCCGTTGCCACTCTTAATGACCACAAAATTTGTTATCCTCAACCTTACTTAGATCAGTTTGGTAAAGCCCAATCTCAACCGTACTACAAAAGGCAAAAGTTATGGTTTTGCATATCAGAATAACCTTCGTCAAACAGGCATCCAGATGTTCGTGAA